CCCCCCCCCCAAAAACACAGAAGCCCCCCCCCCCCTTTACGCCTACTTTGAGCTCAATTATCTCGGTCCCAATAAAAGCTATCGAAAAATTGCCAACTGTTAGAATATTGATAATATTGCGATAAACATTTTATCAGTTGACTAATTTTTGATATCTCTTACAGTAACCGAGATAATAGATCTTAAATTTGGTGATCAGATGGGGTTCTATTTTGTGTAATTTTCTTGGTTTCCGAGATGTGCGCCTTGAAAAATACCGTATCCCTCTTTCCGCACTACACTGAAAGTTTTTTCAAGGCTGCAAATTTTAAAATACCTATATCTCAAAAACCTGAAAAGTTAACAACATTTTGTCAATTATGAAAATGTGAATATTAAATTTTTACACATTTTGTTAGTTTACATCTTTTTCCTAGATACCGTACTTTTTGAGATGTGCGCCTTTAAAGTGGGCCTACCCCATCTCTGGTCGCCGCCGCTGCCACCGGTGAGGACGTCAGCTAACTTTAAAGGTGCATATCTCCAAAACTACGGTATTAGGCAAAGCAATTTTACTTGGGAACATACTGTACATTTTATGCTTAGCAGCTTTGTAATTGACCAAGGTTTAGTAGCTTTTCTAGTTTTTGAGATATACTCGTTAAAAAATTGGCATTATTGAAAGCATCCCCTCCTCCTACCGGTGGGAGTCAGCTTACTTTAAAGACGCATATCTCAAAAACTACAGTAACTAGAAAAAGTTTTCAACTAGAAAAATGAAGTTCTATTCTTGTTTTGAGGTACGGTCATTCTGAAGTTTCCGAGGTTAGAGACGCAGCGTGTCTCGTCGTCTGCGTCTCTAGCCTCCTAAACTTGAAGCAGCTCTTTCTCGGTTCCTAGAAGCGCTAGAAAGTTAATTTTTAGACAGAATTGTAGTAAACTTTGTCTATTTTATAATCAAAAATATAAGTCTGGAAATTTTAGAAATTTAAAAAAGTTATGCTCACCTTCACAGCTCGTCCACAATTCTTTCCTGGACACCATTTGATAAATGGATTCGTCATCACAAATCCATTGACTTTGTGGTAATCATAGGCGTCCAGGACCAGAGAATCCGAGAGGATAGACTTGATCTGAAAATTTCAGCATTTTGAGAATTTCAGATTTTGTGAATTTCAAAATTTCAGAATCTCAGAATCTCAGAATCTCAGAATCTCAGGATCTCAGAATCTCAGAATCTCAGAATCTCAGAATCTCAGAATCTCAGAATCTCAGAATCGCAGAATCTCAGAATCTCAGAATCGCAAAATCTCAGAATCGCAGAATCTCAGAATCGCAGAATCTCAGAATCTCAGAATCGCAGAATCTCAGAATCTCAGAATCGCAGAATCTCAGAATCTCAGAATCTCAGAATCGCAGAATCTCAGAATCTCAGAATCTCAGAATCTCAGAATCGCAGAATCTCAGAATCGCAGAATCTCAGAATCTCAGAATCTCAGAATCTCAGGATCTCAGAATCGCAGAATCTCAGAATCGCAAAATCTCAGAATCGCAGAATCTCAGAATCTCAGAATCTCAGAATCTCAGAATCGCAGAATCTCAGAATCTCAGAATCTCAAGAATCTCAGAATCTCAGAATCTCAGAATCTCAGAATCTCAGAATCTCAGAATCTCAGAATCTCAAGAATCTCAGAATCTCAGAATCTCAGAATCTCAGAATCTCAGAATCTCAGAATCTCAGAATCTCAAGAATCTCAGAATCTCAGAATCTCAGAATCTCAGAATCTCAGAATCTCAGAATCTCAGAATCTCAGAATCTCAGAATCTCAGAATCTCAGAATCTCAGAATCTCAGAATCTCAAGAATCTCAGAATCTCAGAATCTCAGAATCTCAGAATCTCAAGAATCTCAGAATCTCAAGAATCTCAGAATCTCAGAATCTCAGAATCTCAGAATCTCAGAATCTCAGAATCTCAGAATCTCAGAATCTCAGAATCTCAGAATCTCAAGAATCTCAGAATCTCAGAATCTCAGAATCTCAGAATCTCAGAATCTCAGAATCTCAGAATC